AAGGAGGCGTCGCGTTTCTTAGTCAGGCTGCGGCAAAGTTCTGGTACCGCAACAGCCTTGGCTCAATCAAGGTTTACCCAGCTGCGTGCGCCATCAAAGCTGTGCACAGATTGATCCAACACCCTGGACCTGGAAGGAAGGCAATACTCTCTCGAAAGTGGCGATCGTATCGTGGGGATTTCGCTTATGTCCTCCCGTGCGGATCGAAGAAAGGTGGGTCAAAAGCAGCGGCCGTGCGAGAGTTCGGGAGCTTGAAGGCACGACAAATCTTCAACGGTGGCGGACCATTCATTGTTTACGACTCGCAGGATCTTGCTGCTGAGGTTTTGCAAAGGCTGGGATACTTGGATGGGGCTCTTAACCAGAGCCTGGCCGAGGCTATCTTAGTCTTCATCAACTCGGCTGAAAACAAGGGGACCTTGAGGAAGATGGGCTTCCTTCCCAACTCCTCGGATTCTCTGTCCACTGCGGTGGAAAAGCTACGGAAGGCCTTTATGTCCCCTGCCTGCAGCGGGATATGGCAGATGGTCCCTAGCGACCGATGCCTTCGCATGCATCTGCATAAGCAGGGCTTCCTCACAACCGAGATGTCAAAGCCGCTGGAAGTTTTCAAGGCCATGGAGAAGTATGCTGACAGCAACCAGCTGCCGCGGATGGACTCATACCTCGGCTACGCATTTTGGGTTATGCGCAGGCTTCGTGGGTCAGATCCATCTCAGACCGGCGTTGCATCTTTCGCCATCAAAAGGCTCTTGTTTGCTACTAACATGGTGATGGTGGTCACATCCTCCATGTCAGTCTCAGGATTTCCACGCAGCAGTAGCGGCACTATTGCCTTCAGCACCCTCTCATCGCCATCATCATCCTGAGCACGTAAGCCGCCACCATTTGGGTAGGTTTGGTAAACTTCACATACATGCAGAAGCGGCAGCTTGCAGAGCATCACCCACGCATTTGCTTGTTGTTCTGTTTTCCACCGAGGTCGCTAGATGTGCTGACAAATCTCTTCGCAATCGAGACCAATGTGTCAAGACCTCAGAGATTCAAGCTTGTTGCGCGTGTGTAGCTCCTCTGACAGTGTCACACCTCACATTAGGGTTCGGCTCGTCTGGTCATTAGTTTCATTGTGTCGGGACAGGGATCTAGCAGCTAGCAGGGATCTAGCAGCTAGCAAGGATCTAGCAGCTAGCAATGTAGTAGTGCGGTTTCAGGTATGCACCGTCATCAGTAGCTGAGGGCTCGCATGTGCTGAGTTTAGCAGCTGATTCCGTCCTTGCTCAGTCCCAAATCTGGCTGCTGCGTATGCAACTGCGAGCCTTGTGAAAGCTCACCGTACACATGGTACAAAGGCAGCTTCGTTTCTGGCAAGTTCAAAAAATCAAGGGTCAGCAATGAAAGCAAGGCGCATTCAATTAACCCGAAATGTAAACTGAATCAACATACTTGAAGTACTACCCCCCAAGCATTCCTTGAAGCAACAGCTGTTACATGCGAAGCGCGCCTGAGACATGCCCCCGAAACATACCCCAATGCAACCATGATGCTTCGGGTATCCCTTTTGGAGGAAACCCCCTCTTGGCAAGGGCTGGGTGCCCTTTTGGGAGTTGATCTCTCACCGAGGAAGCTTCTGCTTGCACTTCTGGACTCGCTGACTAAACATTGTTCCCCACTGAAAGGTTCTGACGTCAAAGTATCCCCAGCAGAAACGCTCTCTGGCCAGTTTCCATCCCATTTTCCATGTGAGCTACTGTCAATGTTATGCTTACTGAGGGACCATTAAGGGTGGACGTAAGGGTCCCTTCTTGTAATTTTAGGACAGTCCCAGTGGAATCCCGAATAAGGAACCCATGTCCATGAAAGATTTGCCATTACTTGAGATGAAACAGCAGCCAGGCAGCCCAGCCCGAGCTTCAACAACTTTGTCATCTAAGCGCGCAGCGTGTTTTTGCAGCACGTACCACAGCAGCAACTTTCATGCAAAGTCCAGATCTCTCACTGACCCTGTGAGCGACGTTTAATTTCTGTGCTGCTTGGGAACCTGAAGATCCTCGATAGTGCTCTTGCTGGAATCACGCGTGCGAGCTTTCCTCTCGCCGGTCTCATTACTTTCGAGGGACTCATGCTTTGGATAAGTGCTTGAGGGATGTGACAGAGCCTTTGCAAGCTGTGGACTGGAAAGCCCTGTTATCCCTGCGTCCATATTGAATCCTTCTTTTGGAATTCGATATTGAGAAGAGACACAGCGCATGATGCGTCTTCAGGTCCACTTCCCTGGCTGCCTACCTAAACGTCACCTCACTGATCCGCGGCGTGGTACGATGTGTAGCGTCGCCCCGGCTCTCTGCACATCAAGTCAGAGTGGATTTGAGCAGCATTCAGGCTTGCTGTTTGAAGGATTGTCCTGGATGTTACGAGCGGCAGTGGAGACTCGGAATGTACAGAATTAAGGATTTGGCGATTTTGCCTACTTCACATTTTGGGAGTTAGGATCTAGAGTTGAGTCTGCCTGCATCCAAGCCTTCACGACAAACCCTAGACCCCCAATGCTGCAAGCTCAAGGAAGCTTCCATCAAATGGTGCAAGTGCCAGGCTGCTGACGAAGCTGGACGCGCCCCAGGAGCACTCGGAGCACTTGTCTTTAGCTGCACCATCGCAGCATCACAAAGCATCTAAAACGATCTAGTGACTAGTAGTGCACTGGTGTCCCTGCGTTGGGAGTGGTTCTGGATGGTTCTGGTGTTGTTGGTGGTGATGGTGGTGGCGGCAGCGGTATAGTTGCAAGGCAGTTACGAGGACGTAATGCACTCAGCCCTCCACGTGGGCGTCCTCGGGGCAACTTCGGCAGAACATAGTGCCAAACTAGAAGGATGGACAGGTGAAGGTTGTTACTGAGGTGGCCGAAGGCGAACCCAACCCAGTCCCTTCGGGGTCTGGAGTCCCTAGGATGGAACAGTCACAGATGGATCGGGTAGGTGCAGGCTCCAGCCTCAATCGAGGGTTGGGCGGTTGGGGGGGCCCCCAGGGGTTCCCCTTCCCTTCCCTCGGAGGCTGGGGGACGGGCTGTTGTCAGTGGCCGTGACACGGTACCAATCATGGGTTTCGGGTTGAGGTCCGGGGCGGAGGGTGGTGATGTTGAAGTGAATGGCTTGAGGGCGCGGCCTGGGGTTCGGCAAGACTATGGCCCAAGGGTATCACGACAGTTTGGTCAAGCACAGGGGGAGCGGCAAGGGACAGACGCCGGGGTTGGGAACCACCGGTGGAGAGGTCAGCAAGACACGCAGCGGCTCAAGCATACTGGCGAAAGACATTTGAAACGGAAATTGGATGTGGCGATCGAGGGCGGCGAGGGGAGGAAAGTCTGCAGGCGAATCAGTCGGCAACATCGGGCAGCAGCAAAGAAAAAGGCGGCTCAAAAAAACAGAAAAACTTTTTTTGTGAAAAGGGCGGAGCGCAGGAGACTGATTTCCATTCAGAAACAGAATAAGGGTAAGAAACGTTTTAAGATGTTGACATGGAACACAAGGGGTTGGGGAGCTCGGTATTCGGAGATAGATCAGGCCATCAAGTCCAGGTGTATTTTGCATCTCGTAGAGCGTAGAGGGGTAGGGCTGGCCGTTCTCTCAGACTTGAAGTTTCCGGAGGTTGGTGTCAGGACATACCGCACGGCCTTGCAGTGTTGGACTTTGGTGGCCGTGGGCTCTGTCGGGTTTTTAATGAACGAGGAGTGGGCTGAGTGGTGGACGCAGGGGGGTGGCGTTTTTGCGGCGGCTACCCCGGAAGGCAGGGATAAAGTCAGGGCAGCATCTGTTACCTTCCCAAGGGTAGGGTGGCGGAGAGGTTTGCATGTGGTGGGGGTGTACGCACCAACCGCGGCGGCTCGGCGCAGACAAAGGGACGAGTTCATGAGGCAGGTCGGGGATATGTTAGGGCGGGCCCCGGGGAGTAGCATGCAGGTGTTGGCGGGGGACTTCAAGGCGGAACTGGGACTAGCTAGGCATGGTGATTGGGGGGATGTGTTGGGGCCTTTTGGATATGCGAGACGGTCGGACGCAGGGAAAGAATGGCTAGCATGGTGCAGGAACGAGGGGTGGGTTGAGGCGGCCAGCCAGTACGCGCAGCGTTGTCGGGGTACATGGTGGCACTGCAGGTTCAACACGGAACATGTGCTGGATCATTTCTTCTTGCCGCGGGCCGAGAGGTGGCATCTCACAGCTTGTAGCGTCGTTCATGCGGGTCGGGGTATGCGCGCGGGAGGGGGGGACAACTGGCAATGGGGCCCGTATACAGATCACCATCCTGTGGAGTTGACCATGAGGGTTGGGAAGTTGTGGGTGCCCAGGAGACGGGGGGGAGCGAGGGAGGAGCGCGCAGACGTTGCAAAACTGAACGGCATGGGGGAGGCCACAAGGACGTACCGTAGACGTTTTCAGGAGGTTGCGGGGCAAAAGCTGAAGGAGCTGACTGAGGGGGCTGGACAGGTGGCATGGCAGGACATCACCCAAGCGTGTCACCAGGCTGCTGTCGAGGTTGTAGGGACGGCTGAAAGGAAGAGTGATCGTCCTTGGCTGGAAGGACATTGGGAGGAGCTTCAGCGGCTGGATGCGGCTATTACTGCGTGTCGGCGAGCAGACAGGGAGGCAAGGGCAAGGCCTAGGCCGTGGAGTGCGCAGGAGACGGATCAGGCTCGGCAAGCTCGTAGCGATCTCAACCAGGTCAGGCGCACAAGACGCAGACAGTTAGGGGTTTGGGAGACCACATACTGGGCGACTTTGGCGGCGCGAGCTTTGCAGGCGGATAAGGACGGGGATACGGGGGAACTTTTTAAAATGCATAAGGCACTGGGGGCGTACAAGCAGGTTCGTAGACGGGATGGGGCGGAAGCTAGGCCAGCGGACATAGAGGCGGAACGCGAGGCGTGGCGGGAACATTTCTGTGCAATCCAGGCAGGTGCAGGCGAGGTACCAAATAGGGTGTGGGATAACATACCACAGTCAGCCAGGATGGCTGACTGGTTGGCACTGGGGCCATCGCATGGGGAGTTCGAGCGGGCTGTGGGACAGATGCAGTGTGGGCGAGCGGCTGGGGAGGACGGGTTTATGGCTGAATACCTTAAGTATGGGGGTCCTGAAGTGCAAGAGGTGGTGTTCCAGGTGGTGAAACGGACATGGGAGGCAGCGCAGGAATCGGACGAGGGCTTGGAGGCGGAGAACTGGCCGTCGGCATGGCGAGTGGGCTTGGTGGTGCCACTGTGGAAACGTAAAGGTGACAAGAGGGATAAGAACACATGGCGAGGGGTTACGCTTTTGAGCGTAGGCACCAAAGTCATGGCGCGTATCCTGGCGAATCGTTTGGCAAGATGGTGTGATCCGTGGCTGCATGAAGGTCAAACAGGGTTTAGGACAGGTAGGGGCACGGATGATGCACAGCAGGTATCGCGACGTATAGCAGAGGAGGTGGCGAGGACTAACTGCGACGAGGTGGTGCTTATACGTTTCTTCGACATACAGAAGGCGTATCCTCGGGTGTGTAGGCCGGCAATGTGGAAAGTCTTGCAAAGACGAGGGTGTCCTGAGGCCATGGTTAAAGTGCTTAGGGCGCTCCATAACCACACGGAGATGAAGGTTCGGGTACATGGAGGATGCTCCAACGGATACGTGCCAGAGCGCGGACTACGGGAAGGGTGTCCCAGTTCCCCTGTTTTGTTTAATATTTATCACGACGCTGTCATGGAGGACTTCAGAGCTCGCAGGGGAATTTCGGCTTTGGAACAGGGTCAGGTCCCGGGCTTGGAGTGGGAATATAAGGTGGATGGTCGCCTGACGAAACGTCACATAGTGCGGGCGCAGGCAGGTACGGAGACTGCTACTGTGGTTTTGGGTGACTTCGGGTACGCGGATGATACGGGCATCGTGGGCACAGCGGAAGAAGTACCTAGGTCCGAGCGACTTTTTGGAGAAGTGTTAAGGGATTGGGAGGAAACATTGCATCCGGATAAAACAGAGGGTCTGCGCATTTCTGGGTCGGGGAGACAGGCGACGGATGTGCGGTTTTTGGGTGAGGGGTCGGAGGTTAAGCATGTGGGTGGCTGGGTGGCTGAAAACGGGAGGCCGTGGGAGGAAACTAAGCGGCGCAGGGCGGTTGTCGCGCAGAAGATCGCGGTCACAGCAAAGAGCTGGAACTTCGGTGGTTCAAGCGAGCGTCGGCGGCAGTGTAATGTTCCTAGGTCGGTTCGTCTCACGGTTATGCGAGCCGTCGTCATACCCACAGCGATGGCTACCGCTCGTACACGCGCGTGGGACTCCCTTATGTTGCAACGCATTGAGCAAATGGTGTTGTCGAGCCTACGTAGATGCTTTGGGGTTAAGTACCAGACACTACACAACTACCACATTAGTAATGACATGTTGCGACGCGCAGCGGGCTGGCCGAAGGTAAAACACATGGTGATGAGGGCATCGTTGACGTGGTTAGGGCATGTGGCACGAATGCACGTACACCGGAGGCCGAAGCAGATGCTATTTGGTTGGTGGAAGGGCAAGAGCATCAAGTACAATACGTGGAGCGCGCAAAGTCGTTGGTTGGAGCGTTGCTTAAAAGACGCGGGGGTGCCTCGGGGGGATTGGTTTCGATTGGCTCAAAACAGGCGGTTGTGGAGGCATCGTATCAGGCAGGCTTTTCCACAGAAGGAACTAACAGCGGCGCAAAAACTTCAGCTGGACAGGTGGCGGCCTGGGGACAGGCTGCCTGATAACGCGCCGGAACGGGAAGTGGCCGAGGAGGACAGGGTGCAGGAGCCTAATGCGGATATAGGAGACGAAGGATCTGGGGAGGAGGAGCAGCCTAACCGGGTTTTCCCGTGCTGGTGTTGTGACAGGGTGTTCGACAGGGGTAATTCACGCCAAGCTCACTACCAAGCGGAGCATGCAGTGTGCAACCCACATTTAGTTACAACACAGGTTTTCAGTTGTGAACGGTGTCAAAAGCATTTTCCGACGCAGGACCAGCGCAGTAGGCACGAGTGCCCGGTACTGAACCCATTGCAGCGGCTGAGGTTGGTGGACCGGGCAGGGCAGGTGCCGGTGCAGGCGCCGGGGGCAATGGTCACGCCGGGAGTTCGGCATTTGTACACGGACGGGTCGGGCGGGCCAGATAACCGGGCAGGGTGGGCGGTGGTTGTTTTTGATGCCCCACCCAACAGGCCGGCGGAGGCGGACTACACTTTGTTTGGGCCGGTGGTCTTGGATGAATGGGATCCGGTGTTTTTGGGGGCCGAGGTAGGCACGAACAACACGGGGGAACTCACAGCGATAGGCGAGGCGTGCGTTTGGTTGTGGGAAAATAGGGAGGAGCGTACGCAGGATGGACAAGTGGTGCCGGCAGTCATACACTACGACTCAGAGTACGCTAGGGATTTGGCAGTTCGGGCGGCGGCCCCGCGCAGTAACCAGCGCTTGGCGGAGAGCGTGGCATCATGGGTGGAGAAAGTTAGGTCGGTGCGACCTCTGGAATTTCGGCATGTCAAAGGACATAGTGGCGACGTGGGCAACGATGCGGCGGACAAATTCGCAAATAGGGGGAGGGAGGGACACGCGTCGCCTCAGTGGGGGAGATGGGCGGACGTACCTGGACCTTGGGTGAATGTGCAGAATAGGGATCCGGATGTGGTAGAGGTGTGCCGCCATTGCGGGCGACGCTTTGACACGTTGAGATCAAGGGCGGCGCATGAGGGGAGATGCGGGGAACAGGGGGTGGCCCTGCCGGCGGGTATGGGCAGATGCCGCAAGTGTGGACAGCAAATGCGCCAAAGGACCGTCAGGTCGCATGAGGAGAAATGCAGGGGTCTGAGGGAAGCTAATTTGATTTGCGCTCTGTGTGGTGAGGAGTTCCCGGATTTCAGGTTGTTGCGGGTTCATGAATTTGACTGTGCTAGGCTGGCGGAGCGACGTGCGGCGAAGGCGTCAGCTCCTCCACCACCCCCTCCGGTCCCGGCAATGCGCGAGGAGGAGGCGGCGGAGGGACAATGTCACCAATGCGGGCAGCAATGCGGGCGGAATTTGAGTAGGCATTTACGGCGGTGTCGCGGGTCCGAACTGGCGAACCGTACGTGTCGCCGCTGTGGCCGGGAGTATGCTAGTTGGGACAGTTTGCGGTCACACGAAGCTAGGTGTAGAGTGTAGTTTTTTTCTTCCTTCTTTTGGCGGGCAGAGAGAGAACTCAAATTTGTTTTTCTGGTTGAACAGCAGGACGGCCAGGCCGCCGGTCCTCAGGCCCGGGCTACAAGCTCGGAGTCTTGCCTAGTGGCTGTTACAGCACTGGAAGCGTCCTATATGGGCGAAGGGACACGGGGTGCGAGGGGGGGAGTGGCGGGGCGCGTGGGTGTTTTGGTTGAGTGTTTGTGGTGGTGTTGGTCACGGGCGTGGCGAGTTTCATCAGCATCATTGTCTGGTTTTGCTGCGGGGGGTGCGGGGGGGCTTGGTGTGCAAAGGGGGGTGTTTGGGTTGGGGCCGGGCAGTTTACCTTGTTGGTCGCATGACATGTTTCTGACGGCCATGTGCCAGTCATCAGGTGCACGCTACAGGCGTGGACACCTTGCCCGGGCACGCCCGGAAGCTCCCTACATGGGAAGTACATTCTGAGACCAGTTTATCCGGTGCAGCTCATTTAGGCTCCAGCCCGGCGGTTTAAGGTTTCCTGTAAGCACCAGACTCAGGGATGGAGGCGCGCTTGACAGCTGTAGAGGAGAGTTTGGGGCATGCCGTGCACCGCATCGGCAGGGTCGAGGACCGGGTGGACAGGCTTTACGCTCAGTCCAGGGTTTACACCATCCATGCCAAGACGCTGGAGACACACTGGGTGGGTTTGTGGGCGGATGCGGATGGAGGCAAGATGGTGGAGACAGAACGAGGGGAGGCGTGGCTGAAAGAGGTTGCCGAGGCTCTGGGTGTGCCCCATCCTCTCCCAGAGCGCCAGCCTGGACGGGAAGAGATGCTGCACGGCAAAAAAGCCCGGGACATCCACGACGCCCTGTGGGCGCTGCATGAAGAACTACACAGCTTGGTGCGCATTGAGCCGGACTTCGGATACGAGGAGCGGAAGAAGGAAGCGTTCACACTTGTTTATCGGCTGGGAGCGGCAGGAGATCGAGTTGAGCGGCATGTTTCGGGATGCCTCAACGCAGCCCTCACAGCCGCCAACCGAGCGACGGGGGGCAACCAGGTGCTGTGCTGGAGGGCTAAGACGAGGGGGGAAAAGAGGAAGAGGGCCTGGGCTCGCCAAGCGGCATCGGGAGCGGATGAGGGCAAGGGACGTGGTGGCGGTGGGGATGGGGGTAGGGGCAAGGGTCGGGCAGGACGCAAAGGAAAGGGCGGCGGCAGGGGCCAGAAGGGGCGAGGCCGCAACTAGAAGGGCGGCTGACGAGGGGTGATGTTCGAAAGGATACGTCCGAATGAGGGGTGGTTTTCTTCGTAGTTTTCCTTAGTCTTGTTTTTTTCCTGTGAGCCTGCATGTGAGCCATGGTTTTTTGACGAAGCCGCTAGTATGCAGTACGAGCCCTGTGTGTGCAGACAGTCAGTGTTGCTGGTGGTTTTATTTAGGCGAGGTTTTTAGGCGTTGTTCCTTTGCAGGTCATGTTGTGATCGATGCGCCCATGGTTGGAGGTTTGTCACAGGTTATTGGCCTGAAGAGATCGGCTACCAACATCGCACCCTTCTTCTTGCAAGGCAGTTATCCAACATTCACCTTCCCTGCAATTTTGTTTGGCAAGTCTTCCTTTAACTGTGGAAAAACGAAGCCATAATATGTGGTTGCATCTTCAGCATTTCGTAGATTTCCTGTTGTGGCGCCAACTAAAAGCTCACAACAAAAACTGTCACCTCATCCCAGTCATATGTCTTCTGCTTTATGAGAGGTCTCCCCTTTCCATGTCTTCCAGCCCCAGGAGCCTCAGGCTGTCTTCGTCCCGGATCAGGACCTGGCGCACCAAATGTGATTACAAGCATGATCTGGTATCAGGGGTGAAGGTCTGGGATTCAGGGTCTAGGTGTCGTAGCAGACTGTTGGAACAAGTGCATGTAAGTGAGGGCAGCAGATGGGACCAACTCCAGTACTTGTAAGAAAGTCAGGAACAGGTCCAGACATGATTGCTTGCAAGAGTCTCGGAGACGGCTCTCACACGCCTGGTTTTTGATGAATACAGGCTTTCAAGTTTTAGATAGAAATCAGTTTTCCATGTCGGAGAGTTGTTCGGCAGGGATTGCTCAGACTCTTATACTCCCCCAATCCACTTCAATAAGTTCTACTAGTGCTAGCAACGCTCTCAACTTCACCAACCGTTGAGTTCTGAGCTCGACCCTGATTTTATCAGCTTGAATTCTTCTGTCACGTGATTTTAACCCTAGGATCTGAAGTTCAGATGTCCTTGCCACGTGAAGCCTTCAGATTTTCCTTTAGGAGGCCAGTCTCTAAGATTTTAGACAAAATTTGGTTCGCTGAGAGCTCCAGCCTTCTGCATTGCATTTGGCAATTGATTGCAGAAGGCTAGGATGGCCAATGGGAAGCCAGATTCCACTCCTTGGATCCACCTCCAATACAAGAAAGACATGCTCTTCCTGGGCCTAGAATTGCAGCGGCTCTGTTCATGCTATTGATGGCATAAAGTTCTATCCTTACAGCTTTGGAATTGTGGCGGGTGATCATAGTTAAGTCGTACAGGATGGTTAACTTTGACCGACGATGGAAGGTGAAGAGTGTCACATTCGACCTCACATGTGAGCTCAAATTGACAAAGGGCCGCCTTGCCCTTTTCTTGAAATAGCACCTATGCACCTGTGGAGCGCGATGCTGCAGCTGAAAGTGTTTAGAAGCGTTCCAAAGTCCTTCTTCACATAGTATATTCGCAAAAGCCTAAACCCGAACTTGATACCCAAACCTGGAAGCCAAATCCCAAACCCTAAGCCCCAAACCCAGGAGTCCTCCAGCTACCTTGGGGCCTCAGATCTGATCCAGCCCTGAGCTTGGGTGTGTTACGGCTTGCTCTAGGGGTACAAGAACCTAGATTATAGAGTAAGTAATTTGGGCCCGTCATGGGAGCCAATTTGGGATTTAGGAGGTGTCCGGGTGTTACGTAGATTCAGAGCGCTTTAGGGCTTTGAGTTCAGGTGTAATTGTATTACGGATTTGGGGCGGTTTGAGGATTCAGGTTCAAGAGCTAAGGCTTCAAGGTTTTACATTGAGGTGTCGTGTTTCAAGGTTCAGGGTTGGCTTTCGGGATTCTGTTGGGTCTTAGACTTTGAGATCTAGAGTTGGGGTTTATGATTTGGTGCGCAGTTGTTTCTTGGGCCGGCCTTTGGATCCATGGCAGCGGGGCTTATATGCGGGCTTGCACATACGCAATTTGTTCAGGCCTGAAAGGGTTGCAATTAGCGGGCATCTGGCTTTCTGTTTCCTTTCGTGGCATCACAGTGGCTTTGTTAGGATGAGGCTGTTGCTTTTGACGCTTGGCTTTTGCTGTCTCAACTTGGCAGTCGCAGGACTCCTTGTGACAAATTTTGTGTAGCGTAGTGCTGTGATGCAGGGGGGATCCACGGCTTTGTTCCTCAGCGGTCTGTATCAGGGGCGACTTCCCACCGCAGGAAACAACAGCATGATGATCTTCCTCTGGCCCGTCGGATCTTTCTTCTTGCTCCTGTTACAACACTCCTTTTACCACACTTTGGTAGTTTTGAGATGAAACTTCTTAGCCATCAAGCTCACAGGCTCGTTAACAACACTACCGGTTTGGGGTTTTCATGCACACTGTACACCCCAATGTCATGCTTAGCATGATGGAAGCCAGTGCTACATGTTGAGATTTGGTGCCGGGAATGTTGCGGTGGTCATATCAGGATTGCTTGCAAGGCGGTGACAGTAAGTCCTCGAGATAACCCGTAAGCCGTCGCTGTGTCCCAGTTACTTGCTGCTGTGCGGCAGCTCCGCGAGTGGTGCATACAGTTGCGCATGCGGTGTTGGCCTGGCTATGAAAATTTTGGCTAATCCATCAAAAGCTTGACCCCAGCGAGGTTGAGCTTGTCCGAGCATTCGTTACACACTTCCGTTTTCTGCTTTAGCCAGTGCTCGAAACCACAATTGTAATCTGATTAAGCATGGCAACTGCCAACATGACTGCGTGCAGTCCGTGCAGTGAGGTTCGATCTGCCGGGAAGCCATCAAGTAGTGGAGATGAGGTCCGATGCAACCCCCTTGTTTGTGCCATGAGCTGACACTTGGGCGCATTGGATTTGAGGGTCTTGCGGCTAACGCGATGCAATGCGTAGCAGGGTAGCGAGTAGAAAGCTGCGCGCGAGGTTTTCTGCGCTAATGGTTGGTTAAACTCACCTGAGTCAACCAAGGACTGCGAGCCACAGAGTTTTTATCCCGTGCTTGCTCATGGAATTTGGTAATGGTTGGAAGTTTTGGCTCGAACCCGCAGCCAGCATCGCAGGAAAACGCGCTCTTGCCAGGAGGAGATCTTGTTTTTGTGGCCTATGTACCTCCGTGGTGCCCAAGTTGTGCCTTGTGCCGGACGTGGTTTCTCATCGGCTGATTTTGTCAACAGGCTGCTAAGTTTGGAGCAACAGCCAAGCAATTGGAAGATACGACAAGCACTTGAACCACGGATACACGGCTGGATGTATCAACCTGCGGCAGTCTCGCAAACCTTGCAAAAGCTCAAGAAGGACTTTTCTTTGTCAAATGGCCGCTTCCGTGACATCCTATGCAAAGGGAGTCTTGCAGAAGTCCCCTGATCCTCCTGATCCAAAGTGTTTTCTCATCGCAACAATGTCCATCGCTCGGATCTTGGAGAATATCTAGCTAGTGCTGCTTCTATTCCGGGTTCCCATGCCAAACGCAGGAAAAGCGGCCGGATCTCGTCCGTGGTTTGCTGCAGGCTCTCCAGGCCATCATGAAACAATTACTAGATCCCCTGCAGCTTTCACAATCTGGCATTTCCCAAGACATAGTTGCGCTCCAGAAGAGGGACCTCGATTTTTTGGAAGCCCTTTGCAGGCGGACAGCAGGGTGGAGCTCAGCCCTGCTCACTTCTGCATAGGACCGGGTCTCGCTCAAAGGTGTTGGTG